GAGACGCAGCGCCGCGTGCCGTGGGCTTTGGCCACCAAGAGCCTGAGGGCAGGGAGGTTTCCAGGCTCTGGCAGTGGGGGCTGGTGTGGGGCAGACCCTCATCCCTTGGCCAAAATACCAGGCACAGAGGGAACAGCAGCTCCCCTCGTGCCAGGTTACGAATTCCTGGAGTTTGCATGTTGTTGGTGTCAGATCAGCTCCAGCACATTTCATCCCGTCTAGGCTTAACGTGCCCCAAGAACAGAGATTTCTGCCAAACCCGAATGCCCGAGCTTTGTCTGCTGCTGCTGCCTTCCACGGGGCAAGTCCACGGGGGAGCGTGTCTCTAATTATTGTCCTGTGTTGGGTGTTAGCCATTCCTCTCAGAGATGCAGAACACAGCCAGGGCCTCATTAAAGGCTGTCATTGTGCTAATTAGGTAGGTTTCATACTTAATAATGGGGAACTATTTCATGGCAGTTCCATGAAAAAAGAAAAGAGGAGAAAAAGCCATTATAATTTCAGGAAAAGTCCCTGGAGAAGCGAAATGGTAATTCACAAATCTTACCCTGATCTATTAGCAGACCCTGCTCTGGAGACTAAATTAGGTAGGATGTCTGGCTTGGCTGATATTCTTTATTATCTGAATACCTCTTAAAGAATATTTATTAAGTATTTTTTTCTCTTAGGAATCTGAGACGCAGCTACATTTACTTGCAGTTTTGAAGTGGCTGTTTGAAGCCCAGGTCACACTGAATTTGTCACTGCAAACACCCTGGAAAATCCTATTTTGATGCAAAAACATCCTTTGAAGATGCACTTAAGAGGCAGAGAGAACATAAATACATTTGGAACTGTTGGGCGTTTGGTCAGCTGTCCGTGTGCTGTCCTCGGCCAGCGTTCACCCTTCGCATCCCTGAAGCCGAAGCCTCGTCTCGCTGGTGACTACAGGCAGCAGCGGAGGGTGCCGGGGTGGCACGGGGACCCCGTGTGGGTCCGATCCCACTCACAGGGATTAGGGTGGGAGCGGGCACAGACTCAGCAGTGCTGGCTGCAGCAGGAGCGATTATTTTGGGTGGGAAAGGAACACGTGGGCGGCAGCTGGGACCAAGAACTGCCCTTTCCACGTGAAACTAGAAACAATGGCGTTTCCTCCGAGCAGGGACAGAAAAGGGCTGGTTTAGCAGCTGATTCTTGAGCAGCTCCTGGGTGAGAGCGTGCACGGGCAGGATGACCCAGGGCTGCCCTGGGGGCCAGGGCAGCTGTTGAGAGCACACGGGGCCAGAAGTGCTTTTTCTCAAGAGAAACGTCCCGTCGGCTCCTCGCGAGACCCGGTGGATGGGGCGGCAGCTCCATGACAGCTGCTGGGGTGGGATCCGGCCTTTGCAAAGGACCCTGTGTGTTGGCAAAGTGGGTTTGAGCCTCTAAAGCCTCTGCAGGTGCTGGAGGTGGGGGCACCAGTGGGAGGGAATGCAGGCAAATCCCCAAGGGCTGCTTTTCCCACAGAGCAGGTTCCCAATGTGCATTTTATGCTCCAGATCTCCCCGTTTCCTGCATAAACGCATCCTGTTTCCTGGATGTGGCTCCAGGAGAGGTAACCACCTGCAGAAATTACCCTCCATCCCTCTGCGGAAGCATTGCAGCGGCCATGGATCTGCCTTTGCCCCTGCCCCACTGAGCTCAGCCTGGGTCCTCGCCTGCTGCCTACCACACTCATCACAGCTGTGGGCAGTGCTCGGTGACAAGCTTAAAAACCGCCTGGTGTGGGTGCTCAGCTCCCTGTGGCCTATTCCACCCAGCACCCTGCTCCTCTCTCCGTGGGGCTCAGCCTTCAGACCAGGCAGGTGCGACTGGGATGTGCGACTGGGGATGGGGGGTGCCATGGGGCAATGCCAGCATGGTTAGGGGTCCCCACTGCTGTGCAGCCTGGCTGGGTGCCCCAGGTCATGCCTGGGCAGCCCTGGGGTGAGGCTGTGCTCTATGGGGCCTGAAGTTGTTGCAGGAAAAGCTGCTGCTCTCTCTTGTGCTGCTGCTTATAGAAAGCTGCTTCTCCCCTTTGCTGACCCTACGGAAAGGTTGGGGGGAGCTGGGAGGGTGTATTTGTAACAAACAGGATGAACTGCTGATAAAAGAGGAGGAATGCTTTAGAAACAGCCTTTTGGCATTCAGAGCATTGGGGGGCGGGGGGGAAAATAACTAGACCTAAAGCATGTGAGGAGGAGAAACAAAAGCTTGCTTGCAACTGAGGTTCCTGAAAAAGTGCTGAGCACAGCTCTCAGATGCTGACCCGCTTCTCTCCTTGTATGGGCAGAAACAGGGCTTGACTTGTGCCTATATTTAATTTGCAAGAAAAAAAATCCCCCTCTATCCCTCTGCTCCGCTGCCCTCTCTGCCTTGGGAAGTTAAAACAGGAATAGAATTGCATGTTTAAAATAAAACAATACTCCTGCTGGCACATAAGCCCTTCCTAAACTTGGAGTGAGCGGAACAGGTTTTTGCAACATAACACTGCTGTGTGCACACAGCGTCGGGTGAGGCTCCGGGTAATGGAACAGGGGCTGCAATAGGATCAGCGGGCTCTGTGCTATCACAGAATCCCAGACTGGTTTGGGGGGGAAGGGACCTTAAAGCCCACCCAGCGCCACCCCCTGCCATGGGCAGGGACACCTTCCATAGCCCAGGGTGCTCCAAGCCTCATCCAGCCTGGCCTTGGACACTCCCAG